GTAAGTATCATGTCATATCACTGAGTCAATTAGTTATTAACCCTTTAGGTCCCAAGAGTGTCCAACATCAATTTTCTCCTAACAACATCAGCAGATCAACAAGAGTAAAGGTTATGAGAAAACCTAAATTGATGACCAAAGAGAGAATACTTTGATCTTAAACCAAATTCTCTCAAATATTCTTAAAAGGAATGTATGGAGATCGGTCTGGAGAATTTGTATTTGGATCTTGGGGCTTAAAGTGTTAACCCACAACAAACAATTTCAAACTCTTTGTCAACAAATTCTTTAAATGGTCAAACGTGATGTAATTTATTCATTTTACCTTGCAGTGAATATAAGTATTGAAAAAGCTTAAACCACGTAATCAATCAGTCAAGATAAGAAGAGTTTCTTCTTCGTTAGTGATATGAGGATGATTTGTACGAAAACGTTAGTTCTCTTTGCCTTCGTGCTGCATGTTACCATGATTTCCACCATGGGAGCTAAACTGAGCCAAAACTACAGAGGTACTTACGACTTGTAATCTTAAGATCATTATATTCCAAAATTAAAGGAACCAAGCTTTGTTAGTGCTATTGTTCGCATTTGATTCGCATTAAGAAACGTGGATTGGACAGATAGGTAATTCCATCTTACTTAGAAGAAATTGCTGTTCCTCTTGGTTTACTCTTTTGTAAAGAAACCACAACAATATACAATGCTCCAACCTGCGTTTACTGAGTTCAGAAAAGCTAATGAGTCACAAAACACATTTCAAACCTTTTATTTCCTCAATTTTAATTTACACCATGCTGAACGATTCTTGTGATATAGGTATAAACCAAGGCAATGCAAACTCTGAGGACAAAAAAAGGGATGCTTTGACCTTGAGGAACCAGGTAAAGTATTAATAAACGTTGCTTGCGGACCAGATAAATCATCATCATCATCGCAGTCAGTTGGTTCGACTAACTCTGTTCTAGGGTTCAGCACGTACAGTTTGGTAAGTCTCCTCCAGGTAGGTTTGTCCTTGGCACTATCCTGCCATCGGTTGTACATTAATGAATCAAAACATAATAAAATAAAAGAAAATGAAGATTATAAAAAGGACTAAAAATTGATTAAGCCAGGAAGAAAGGAAGGAAGAAAGGAAGAAAGAAAGAAAGGAATTGTCAACGTGGGCGTTTAAGAAAATAAAATGAATAAATAAACTAATGGTTGAAGACATGAATGAACGAAAAAGTGAATGGATATGAAATATTAAAACACAGTGAACAAAATGAATGTTAGAAAGATTGGAGGGATAGATGCAAAGATGAATGGATAAATGAACCAAAACTGATTATATATAATTAGCACCTCTAATGTATGACATTATGAATACAATATACTGACAAATACTAAAGCTTCTAAACGTATGTATTTCCTAATACAATTGAAAAGGGCTAACGTCGCAAGGCATGAATTAATTCTTTTTTATACATCTTGTATAAGGTCAGTCATGACCTACGCATCGCCCGCGTTTTTCTACGCCCTGCCATTGTATTTAAAGAAAGATCTAGAGAATGTAGGGAAACGGGCACTATCGATCATTTGCCCGGGACTGGCCTATAGAAAGGCCTTAGAGCTTTCAAACATTATGTCTATCAATGACTAAATCGCTAGCTTATGTAAAAAAAACCTTCCTCTCGATTGCTAATGACCCGGCCCATCGCTTACATAACATGCTTCAATCGTCAGGGCCGTCATGTTATAATCTTCGGTGCAAAAGGCGTTTAGTAAGATTATGTATTGATAACGAATTTTAGCGCTCGGTGAGTTTTGTAAATGAGATCGATGACGTTGTATATATTTTAACAGTTTTAAGCTTTTTTCATATATATATATATATATTTATAGGATGTTATTATTTATTTAGGACTTTATCATTATCATTTTATTATACTCACTATTGTAAGATTCTGTTATATTATATTATATATTATATTGTAAATACACAATTAATCTTAGTAGCTGCAAGCTTTTTACAAATAAACTATCTATCTATCTATCTATCTGACATGCATAGCTAGCTTTAATACTTTTTTATCATTCATTTGTGGCATCTTACATTTAGAAACGTGTTTCACCAGCCGTTGCTGAAGTTGGGAAGGAAATCGCCGTTGAAGTGGGAAAAGAAGCTCTCAAGGAATCGTTAAACATCATGAAGGAACAAGGAGAGAAAGCGGAGAAGTTTGTCAACAAGAAAGTAAGTTTTTTGTTTGTAATTCAGTCACACTTTGGCCCCTGCACTCGGAACTTATATCGACATGATTTCAAAGTTGGTGTTTGATAATTTATCAAGAGCCGAAAACATTTATTAAAAACTGTGTATTGTTTAGTATTATCTATACTAATTAAAATTACCGGAGAAGGCGAACTTAAACTTTGAGATTCGTTAATAATCCTCGCTCTTTAGAGAAGCTATATAGAAAACTCGATGTCAACGAAGTTTATAAGTAGCTGTCTAGCCGTTTGAGCGTCGACGCCTGGTCCGCCGTGATATTGGTGTCTCAAAACTGAACTAAACAGTGGCCATGTTGGTCTCACAAACCAATCCTGTGGGAGTTAAACTCTTCTCTTACGTAAGAGACTTTCAGAGCATCGGTTAGAGCATCGCACCGGTATCGCGAGGTCACGGATTCAGGCTTCAGCTGAGGCTTCAGGGTTCACGGGTTCAGGATTTTCAGGCTTCCTACACAATTTCATAAATTGCGTTCACAACTTCGAGGATCATTCTTTATTTGAAACTTTCTTTAGTTCCAATTGATTTACATGAGCTGCTGAGTGAAAAGGCTCTATATTCAAAACCAAATAGAATTACATAAAGTCGTTTCAAGAGACTATAAAGGGGACAGAGAGGGCATCCCCCATATACACCCTATTCCATAGGTAATTCGTCTCGAGTTATTTTTAACACCACAGATCTCAAAGGGGATTAGACAACAGCCAATCACATAGCGCGAATGTGTTCCGCGTGGATGACCCACGCTGAGAGCCACGCGTCCTTCACGAAATGACGCAGAACAGAATGGGGGAAGATGCGGAGAGCGATTTTGCTATTCCTTTTCTCGACGAAAACGACTACAGCGAGATTTCTGCGAAAGCTGTGTCAGCGAAACCGAAATTAAAAAAGAATCGCCCTTCCTCTCTTGTATAGAGCTAACAGTAGAGCAGGGAAATCCTTAACACACTTAATATTCTCTCAGGATCATTTATAATTTACAGTTTGAAGAGAGCAATTTCTGGTT